CTGGGGCTGCTTGCCACCCTGCAAGGCAGGGTGCAGGGCAGCCAAAAGGGCAGAGATGGGGGGAGATGGGTGGGGGGAGTGGGAGGCAGTCCCTTACCTTACTGAGGCTTGGGGCTGGGGTGGACCAAGCTCGGAATGGCTTGGATTGGGGTGGGTCCTTGGCTAACGACCGGTGGAATTTGCTTAACAACGGTAACAGGGAGTGCCAGGATTGCAGTCGCTAAGCAATGTGGTCACGTGACATCTTGCTTTACGACTGCGTTGCTTAGCGATGGAAATTCCGGTCCCAATTGTGGTCGTAAGTCAAGGACTACCTGTACAACAACAAAATAAAAATGACAAATAAGACAATCAGTGTTAATTACTCACAGGCTTACTCACTTCCCTACCACCATGCTTGGGAGAATAGCCAGGTCTTAAGAGCTTTCCAAAAGACCAGTAGGGTTGGGGGTCAATCTAATATAAGGGGGAATGGGGTTCCAAATAGCAGGCACAGCAGCAGAAATGGCCTCCTTCCTGGGTCTCACCAGATGGGGCTCCTGCCAGACCTGATGGGGAGAGTAGAGACATTTGGATTGACAATATACAATTGTCACGCTTGGAGAAATTGAAGGTCCTATCCTGTGTCTGGCAGCTGATCTAAAGTTGCAGAAGAGCAGCTGTTCTCTTTCCTCCACCTCCCATTGAACTTGCTTTTCCTTTTACATTTGGACTATGGAGCAGCTGAATGGTACACTGAATGGGCTGGGTTCAAGGGCATCATGGGGGGGGTGTCAAAGACTCAAAACGGTGGCCATAGACATGCACTCCAAGCCGTGCTCCTTGTTAATGTGATGAAAGAGGTGGGGCTTTGATCGTGTTCTTTTTCAGACATCCCCAGGTGGATTCACAAAATATACCAGACTCAAGTTTGAAACTATTCTGTAAACACCAGTGTTACCCAACCTTTTAATAGAGTTTCAAAAGCTGGTCCTACTCTATCATGGACTCTCTTCAAAGAATTGCCATTCATGTTTATTTTGTTATATTCACTGCTGTGATGGAAGTTGGGGATGAAGCAAAAGGGAATGAGGATGACCATTTTTCTCAACTTAAAACAGATTATTATTAATCACTTGCAAATGCTGTCAGTCCAATTCAAGGGGAATTTTCCTTCAGAGGACTCCTGAAAATGATTTTGTGCACGAGGGGTTTTTTGGTCCATTCATCCCCTAACCCAAAGGCAAAGTTGCCCTTAGCTAAAGCTCGCCTCCTGTTGAATTCAAGGATGCTTTTCCTGGCAACAGTGTTTTCTGAACTTCGTAGTTGGCCAAGGACCCCATTCATGAATGAGGAGCAGAGGTTGACAGTTGCCTCTTCTGACATCTCATTGAAGCAAAGAAGCAAAAAAATAATCTTTAAGTTGGTTGAAAGTTCACCGAAAAGATGGCTTATAAATGAAAAAGTCTTTTCCTTCAACATACTTTTATTAAAACAGGTTTTCACCATAACCAAGACCAAGTAAACTAGAATGTTATATCTACTATAAAGCTCCTGGAACAAATCTTCATCCAGGTATTCATTAAATATGCCACTATAGGCAAGCTTATATAGCCATTAAGATTTTAAAAGTAAGAAAAAATTGGGTTAATAAATCATGTTTTATTTCACTGTGGCTTTTATTTTTCCCCCCATGTTACAAAGAAACTTGTAGGCGTTCCTTGCCTTAAAATGGCATTGTGTCCTGTGGTCTTGAAAAGGTCAAGAAACCTAGATTAGCAGAGGCATCGGGGGGTCAGATACATCGATGGCAGCCATGATTTTGTGATAAAACCCTTTGTACAACATGCTTCTGAAAGAGCAGGGGTCACAAGGTCACGGCTCTCATCTTGACATTTTGGACATCCTGTGGACAACACCCCTGTAACTGGGTTAAAATGGGGTTGGGTGCTTTGTAGTTTAGTGTGTTCTGGAAACTTGGCCACTGCTAAACATGTTAGTATCTTCTTTGAACTAGGCTATTACGTTAAAGCTTAGCCACCGTATGATTTATTTGGGCATAGCGTGTTATATGAACCCACCGATTGCACTCTGCTGACATAGCCTTAGTATATTGCATTATCCCAGAAAGAGAGTTTGCTCAACCATGTTTTACTAAACAAACAAGGATGGGGTGGATTCACACAACACACCAAGCCAGGAGGTCTCCACTTTTTCTGAGCTAAGGTCCATGCTTGATCTCTGATGTGCGGGCCTCATTCCTAAACAGGACTAGACAAAAATGAAATCTGATCCTGTTTGATATGCATCGAAGCTTAATTAAGATTTAATAGAGTGAATATGATAATATTTCAGGCATGATTTTCTACTCCTGTCAGGTTAAAAATTACAATTTAGGTAATATCTTAAGTTCTCGGGCGGAGGGGCACATTTGGCCCTGAGGCTTTAAACTGCACTGAACCAAAACACTTATTTATAAACTATAGATGTTGGGCTTGCTAAACACTTCAACAAATCCAGAGAATCCCCTTCAGATCAGAATATGGGACTCATAGCATAATGTCAATAATGTGTTCAGTTCTTTCTTGAATACATCAAATTGTTCCTGACTGATTTTGTTCCTGGCTGAAATGCAGCTGGAAGATTGCATTTCATTTGCAGAGTTTATTTGGGAATGTACAGCAGTCTGAGCACAGCCCCTGTCTGCAGCTCATTAAAACAGTTGCATCTGATTTAGGGTTGGGCAGCTGCTGTGCGACTGCTTTAATGAGTCGCAAGATGGGTGCTGGGTTCATGCTGCTGAAGCCCCTCTTCCCAATGAAATCCAAAGCACTTTTTAGCCATATTGAATAGTCTCAACAACATGCAATTACAAAGACCTCATGCCCCTGTCTTACGACATCGATAACACACCAAAAGTGTGCACGTCATAACACATACTTGTGCATAATGTCAAGACTGATGCTGTTGTCTTACCTGTAAAGGGAGCACTGACACTTCTGACTGAGCTTCAAATGGTTTGGGGATAAGAAAAAAGTTCTTGTTGGTGAACTGCTCAGATGAACTTCTCAGAGCCTGGAATTGGGGACAGCGATTTGCAAAGCATTGCCAACTTTTCAAGAGACACTCTTGAAGAATCTTTGCCCTGATTAACTTACTGATAAATGAGGCACTGAAATACATTTCTCCAATTTCCAAGATTCTGTAACCACCTCTTTCAGTAAATTTGGCTAATAAAAATCTCTGAGAATCTAACATTCTTGGATGTGAGTGGCTGGATGGCTGTTCATTTGGCATCTGTCTGCTATCAGCCTCAGAAATCCTGTACCTTCTCCATACTCAGGGCAAGATCATAATCTGCAGGGCACAGGAAGACTGCAGGCTTTTGAGGCTCAGGTAAGGTTGGCAGGTGCTCCTGAAGCATTCCAGAAGAAATGGGTCACCGTGGGGGAGTTTGGCCAAGAGAAGCTGTTTGCAAACAGAAGCTCTCTAGAAGGAACAACCGTTTGCAGGGAGGCAGTGTGATGACTGCCAGAGGCATGGTTTTCAAGAGCTGCCTTCCCTTTCCAACAAGATGGAATCACATTGGCTGTTCACAAGCATGTTAACCAGATCTGCAGCATCTACATTCCTACAGCATGCTAACCCTTTCAATTTGGTTTCTTTTTTGGTGGCTTAAGAGTTTTGTGCAAAGCCAAACCTGTCTGGATTCTATACATCGTGCAGAGCTAGAAAATGGGGATAATTGTGTCCTCAGTTTGCACATTTTGGAGACACAACCATTTGGTGGGTTTTTTCAGATGATGACACTTGTGCAGGTTCCCAGATGTCTTCTGACCTACCCTCTTTGACAAGACAAGGAGTTGAAGCTGTGGGACCAAACAGGCATGAGAAAATTCTCCAAGAATCAACTCTGATCAACTGGAGGGAATGATCTCATCCATCCGTTTATTGCATTTCTATTCCGTCATATTCTCTCTGAAAGCTTAAGGTGACTGGCCCAACGTTGCCCCATGCATTCTGTGATCAAGTGAAGACTTAGCCTAACACTTTTGCAGCTAAGCTGGCTCTTGATCATCTTGATATTGGTTAAACTACGAATACAATTCTAATAAGATATATCTAAATATCTGCTTGATTTATCTTTTTGGTGTTACATTGTGTCCACAATTTCTAACGATGACAATTGTGTGATTGTTCAGAGCCATTATGTTGCATGAGTCACTGTATTTATATGATGCTCAGATAGAACTATAGAGGTGCAATGTATGGGCAATGTCACGTGTGCCAATATCTCAAAATTAACATCATGCCGTGACTCTAACATACTTTAAAGCTGGTATTTTTCTGAAGAAGTATATTTTGTGAAAGGGTGGAGTACATGTGTAGCTAATGTAAACATATTTTATCAAAAATTGGTTTGTGCATGTACCTTTTACTGTACAGCCAGAATATTATTTTAAACTATCTGCGTATCTTTATGACTTTATAAATGTGTTTATATCACCTTGTATGCTATGTATTATATACAAAGTTGAACAGGAGCTTTATACTACCATTTCTTCATTTTGGAAGTCAGAAGCTAATTTGTTATAATCCTCACCTCTTCTTTGCTAAAAAAGAAAGGCCTTTTTATCCTACATTTTATCCTAAAATTTAAGTTTCCCTTGAGTCAAGCTTGACTCCTGCTGACATCATAAACATCTTCATAGAGTTTCTTCACAATCATAGAGAAATGTTGCTGCCTTCTGAGATTTTTTTTTACATCCCATCCCTGTTCAAACACTAATTATGTCTGACCAGCTCTCACAATCAGGCAACGTCTTTTCTAAATTAAATTGGTTTAACCGGACTGAATTTTACTTAGTCGTTCTTTTTACTTCCATTTAAGCACTGTCTGGCAATGTCTCCTCCCATCTCTGCAGATCCATCAAGCTTGCAAACCTATCTGCAGAAAGTGTAAGCGCCACGTCACCGAAATGACGGGTCAGGTGGTCCAGGAAGGGACAAGACGCTACAGACTTTGCAACGAATGCCTCTCTGAAGCCGGGATAGACAGCATCCGCATTGATTTGGACACAGAACCGCCCCCGGAGTTCCCTCTAGAAGAGGACAAAGATTCCAACTGGAATTACAGCGAAGATAACAGATCCGACGTGGAAATTGTAGAGGACGGATCTACTGATTTGGTTATCCAGCAAGTCGATGACAGTGACGATGAGGCCGAGGAAAAAGATATAAAGCCCAACATTAGGTAGGTATGAATGGACTGAACATTAATAGAGCCCCCTCCCCCGTGCGTTACGTTATCATTCCTTGTCTTGACCGTTGACGCCCAGCCCACCTGCCCACAGTTCAGATGCACTCTGTTGTAAAGGCTTTCCATGGTTTGGGCTCAACTTGCATGCAGTTACGGACATGCCATTGTGTCTCTTTTGAATTTAGCTACTCAAAGTATCACTATTTTATTGCATAAGGAAGCCTCCATCTCAAGATGGCATTATGTATGAACAATGATTTGCAAACTGCGACCATGATAACTTTTGATAATATAAAATTGTCCTCTTCTCAAACCTTTTTCAGACTTGGGAAGCACTTCAAAATAAAAGTGAACAACTTCATAGTAAGTTACTGAATTAAAGTTTTTGCAAGTATAAGGGTTTTGGTTTTTTTGAAAAATAACCACAAATATGAAAAGGCATAGCAGTGTTTCAGAATGTACTCAGCCGCAAAGAGTAACATCAGCTGTGTGTTATCTTAGAAGCCCGGCCAGCAGATCCAAAGGAATGTAAGTGGACAACGATTCGTAATCCTTCAGAAAGCATGCGCCTTCTCCAAATCATCATTTGTTTATTAAAACAGTAAGTTTTCAAAACCAGTTTTGATTCCCAAATCTGTTTCCAGTGAACCCTTTCTGTAGGCCTTGCACATGGTAGAGCAACTAGCACTTTTCAACTCCAGAACTGAAGCACGAGGGTGGTACTGCGACTTACATGCGTTGACACGCGTTCACTTTCTTGTCTTTATGGAAATGTCACACTGCACCAGCACTCAGGTTGAGGTGGGTAATAACCTGCATTTTCTCCTTTAGCCTAACATGGGTCTCTCTGGTTACTTCACTCAAATGTACAGGTTCTGTTTTGTTGTTTCTTTTTTCCAGTTGTGTTTTTTGTCCTTTTCTTTAGTGTTCCTCTTTTTTTCTCTCTCTCTCATATTGAAGCAACTAAAAAGAAAAGTCCCAGATGACCACTAGATGGAAGCAAAGAGATACTAAAAAGCTTAGCTCCATCCTGCCCTCTGGTGGCCACCGACAGTGGTGCTTAAAGTTTGTGAAACCTTTTGAATTTTTAATATTTCCGCATAAATACAACCTAAAACGTGATCTGTTGCCCACACAAGTCCTAAAACTAGATAAAGAGAGCCCAGTTAAACAAATGAGTCAAAAACATTATACTTATTCATTCATTTATTGAGGGAAATGATCCAAAGCTATCTATTGATGTGTGGCAAAAGTATGCGAACCTTTAGGATCATCAGTTTATTTGAAGGGGAAATTAGAGTCAGGTGTTTCAATCAATGGGATGATAATCAGATATGAGGGTGGGAGGTCCTGTCTTACTTAAAGAACAGAATTCTGGGTATTCACTATCAAAGTCTGATCTTCATAACACAGGTATGTGGAAGTGTGCCATGGCTCAAACAAAGATTTCTGAGGACCTCTGAAAACCGTTGTTGATGGTCACCAGGCTAGAAAAGGTTACAAAACTATTTCTAAGAGTTTGGACTCCACCAGTCCACTTCAGGCAGATCGGGTACAAATGGAGGCAATTCAGCACCACTGTTAACCTCCCCAGGAGTGGTCAACCAATCAAGATCACACCAAGAGCGGGGTGTGTAATATATCAGGAGATCTCAAAGAAGCCCAGAATAATGTCTAAGGTACTAAAGGCCTCTCTTGCATTGGTCAAAGTCAGTGTTTGTGAGGCCTCCCTCAGGAGAACACTGAACAATGGTGTTCATGGCAGGGTTGCAAGGAAAAAGCCACTGCTCTCCAAAAGGAACACTGCTGCCCATCTACCGTTTGTGAAAAACCATGTGGATAAGCCAGAAAGCTATTGGAAGAATGTTCTGTGGGCGGATGAGACCACAGAACA